AAAGGAAGACATCAACACCGTTTAGGTTTAGAAAAATTTAAAACGTTTTTGGTTTATCTATCCCATCATAATCCAAAAGGGTTTTAACAAGGTCCTATAAAGAAGACCATCTTAAAATGGAGAAAGACATCACAACACATTCACAGAACCTCAAAGCTGTCTATTCTTACCGTATCCAAAAACACCGATTGATGATCTAACAATTTTTTTTTACGTCCAACAGAGTTGGTCTATATATCGCTTTTCAAGTATCTTATTAGAGTATGTATATTTGGTTTGGTTTAATCTGGGTTTAATCTCTTTTATAGTTTAGTTAGTATGTTGGTTTGGCGTCTTGTATATAAGTCTACGCTCATCTCATTGTGAATCAAGTTGAGTGTTTTACAAAAATATTTTATCTTCTTCTTCATACACATTCTCTCTTCCCATGGAGAATCTCAATTGCTAATATATCTATAAATGTAATACAAAATGGTTATAAGCCGAATTCATTTATGAATAATACAAAATGGCTATAAGCCGAATTCATTGATGAATAAGATAAACTTCTCTTATTTTGTAGAGTTTTCTATTCGCAAGCCGGTTAATCTTTACCCAAACATAAATGAGTGTAATTTGATTAGTTTTAGTGTCTATCGTCTTCTATAATCACTTCTTGAAGCATGAATAATTATACTTCTCACTATAATGTTTTCATTCATTGKTCGAAAATAGAATAACAAACGGAAAATAAAGAATGTCATTAAACTTTTTTTGGGCAACTAATGTCATTAAACTAAAGAACGATCCGAGCTAGCCTAAAGTCCAAAATGATCCGGACTAAATCTCAGACCAGATCTGTTTTTCCAAGCTCTTGTTGCATTATGCCCAGAAACAACTACTTTTATTCAATAGGGTAATAAGGATAAAATTTGTCACATAAAAATAAATTATATACAGAAGAATTATCCACATATTTTGGGAATGATCTGCAACATACAAACTTATAATGGATAAAGAAATGTTTGGTGGTAAAAATGAAATCACAAAAGCTTCACGTACGCAAAGCCGTAGAATGAGTGCGCACATAGTCATACATATCTCCAGCCCTGCCATGATGACCCATGAGAGTTCACTAACTTAGCCTTTTTATTTTTCTTTTCTTTGCTTCCTCCACCCAAAATATTAAGAATGTAACAAGAATTATAACAAGCATATATGTTGATAAGCTGCTTTGAGTATTTGATCAATCTATCTTCTTAGATTCTTAGAGAATAAAAGAGTTTTTTTTTGCATATTCCGCGCTTACCGATTGCTGTTTTTCACCAGAACGAGGTATAGCGGGTCAAGTGGAGAGAGACGGAATAGCTGCACGACAATGACTACGCTCGTGCCAAAACTGAAAAAAGATTAAACATGAACATGAATGAAAAAATGTCCTTGATGGGTGAAGTTAAACTTTGAGTGAAATTGTGTACCTGCCAAGAGATATCAATAGAGCAACCCAGAGGATTCCAGTGATCCAACTAGATGCTTTATATACAACCCAAACCTGATGTACAAAAAGCAAAACATGTAAGAAAACCCGGTTATTGCAGAGTACAACAATGATCTCATGAGGTGAAATCACCATCCAAAGCACTATAGTCTAGTGTTCAAGATTGCCTCATTGCGTTTAGTAGCAAACCAAAATGAGCAAGAGTTACTTAAGTTCTGATGCAGTGAAAGTTTTGGGACTCACTGATAAAACCGCAACATTAATGTAGAAGTTAACCAGTAAAACCACCATCCACCTGTGTATATAAATAAGCAAAGCAAATGACTGATCCACGAGACTGCGTCTACAAACAAACAATGCGC